GGGCCGGCGAGCGGGCCGGCGAGCGGGCCGGCGAGCGGGCCGGCGAGCACGGCTGCGCCGCGGTACATCACTCCATCGTCGGACGAGCTAGGCGTCGGGATGCGGGGCGAGTGGAGCATGGGACTCTGCGACGGCGACGGCCCCTGCGGCGGGGTCGGCTGGCCGGGCGGGACGTGCGGCGGTGGCGGCGGCGGCGGTGCGTGGGTGGCAAACATCACCTGTCGTCGCTCCTCCTGCTTCATGCGGTACTCCTGCACCAGCATGCCGTGCTGCTTGTTCTGCTTACGCATCTGTGGTGACGATAGCAGAGGTGAAAGTGACAGATGAGTTAGTGTGATGACGATAGCGGAGGTGAAGGTGACAGATGAGTTAGTGTGGTGACAATAGCGGAGGTGAAGGTGACAGATGAGTTAGTGTGGTGACGATAGCGGAGGTGAAGGTGACAGATGAGTTAGTGTGGTGACAATAGCGGAGGTGAAGGTGACTACCTTCCCCCTCCTTCCCCGTACTTCTCCTACCTTCCCCCTCCTTCCCTGTACATCCTACCTTCCCCCACCACGCCGTACTTCTCCTACCTTCCCCCACCTTCCCCGTACTTCTCCTACCTTCCCCCACCACGCCGTACTTCTCCTACCTTCCCCCTCCTTCCCTGTACTTCTCCTACCTTCCCCCACCACGCCGTACTTCGCCTACCTTCCCCCTCCTTCCCTGTACATCTCCTACCTGCTCTATCTTCTTCTGTAGGTTGCTGATGTCCTGTGTAAGCTTCAGCATCAGCTGCTGGTCAGGTTCGCTGAGCTCGGCCCCGTTCTTACGCAGCGTGCGCTGACGAGCGTTCAGCGACTTCTTCTCCTTACGAAGCTTTGCGATTTCAGTGTCCAGGATCTTCTGCTGCATCTGTAACCGTGACAACGGCAATGAGAGGGGGCTGCGGCTAACGTAGAGGGCTGTGTGTGATGTAATGTAGACGGTGCGGACGAGGAGGTGGAGAGAGGAGAGGGCGATTACAGTGAGAAGGTAGAGGAGAGGAGAGGAGAGGAGAAGGATGAAGATGGTAAAGAGGAGGTTAGAGAGACAGACGAGGAAGAAGATGATCATGATAGATAAGGACAAGTGGGATTAAGATAAGAATGAGGAGGTGGATAGATAAGGGGAGGAACAATTTCATAGAGATCATTACGAGCAAGTAGAAGTAGAAGTAGTAGTAGTAGTGAAGTAGAAGTAGTAGTAAAGGCAGAAGATTGCAATGAGGATGAAGAGAAGATAAGACAATGGTCGAGCAAAGGTGATGATGCTGAGGAGGATGACACGGCTACGTACCTGTAGCACTGTCTGATGCTTGTGAAGCCATTCCTCGTACTGCAGCTGCTGCTGCCGCTGCTCCTCTGTCATGTTCACATCGAACGTCGGCGGCTGCGGCGGCGCGTGTCCACCCTGACCGGGGGGCAGCTGTGCACCACCGAGGCCGGGGGGCATCGCCCCGCCGCCACGCGGGCTCAGGCCAGACACGGATGGCTGCGGACTCATACCTGCAACACACACTCACTTAGCAGGAGGGGGGACGCGTGCTAGCTGGATCGTGGGCGTGTACGGACTGCAACTCCTTAACGATTCCCATGCCGAGTCATTTTAGGTAAGAAACCTACTCACTGAGACAATGAGGCATTTGGATTCGGAATTTATAATTTATAAGTATAATATATGTATATAGTATCATTTATAAGCATAGTATATGTATATAATATCAGTTATAAGTATAGTACATATATACTACTCGTCACAACTGCACTGACACACACTCACCCCGCAGTATCGTCTCCAGGCTGCCGGGCGCGGTCGTCACGGCAACCCCTCCGCCCGGCGCCCCGCCCATCGTCGGCTGCTGCTGTTGCTGCTGTTGCTGCTGCTGCTGCTGCTGCTGCTGCTGCTGCTGGTTGGAGCGTTGTGGCCACTCCATGGGTGGGTGCTGCAGGCGAGGGGGGTTGGGCATGCCCATGCCTGGCGGCTGCCCCATCTCCTGCACACACTGAGCCTGCTCGCTGGCACCTGAGGAGAGAGACGGGGTGCGACGTTTGTACCCGCGCGAGATGCCAACATCATCCACACAAATCATCGCCGGTATAATCACGTTTATTATTCCGGCGGCCCGTTGTCAGAAACAAAACTAGTCTTAACGTTAGTTTTAACATTCTCTTAAAAAAAGATAACATAAAAAACATTTAAAAAAATCTTGTTGACCGGACCTCTATATGCTGCCTATGAGAAACTCCTGATAAGAACTTTACCATGTTTCTGTCAACGGTCTATGATAAAAAGTTAAAATGTTAAGACTAATGTTACGACTAATTTTGTTTTTCTGACAACAGGCCCTTGTACATTTACCGAGTTATTTCATGAAGAAATTCACGATGAAATTTAACGACGATTTACACACGCTGCTTGTGGTCGATTAATTAAACAAATTAATTAATTGAATGAGTCGATTAATTAACGTGTGAGAATTAACGAGGAGCCTCCATGCTCACAGCCTCTGCGGAAACCGATTGCTGTGCCACGCTACAATCCACAAGGCCTGCTGTGACCAACCGATTAACTCTCAGAGAAAATGAGAGTAAATGAAGAGGGAAAGATAGGGGAGAAATAGGGAAAGAGGGGGAAGAGTGAGGGAGAGCAAGAGCACAATAGAGGGAGAGACAGACAAAGAGACAGAGGGGGAGAGAGACAGAGAGAGTTACTCGGTAAATGTACAAGGGCCTGTTGTCAGAAAAACAAAATTAGTCTTAACATTAGTCTTAACATTTTAACTTTTTATCATAGACGGTTGACAGAAATGTTGTAAAGTTCTTATCAAGGGTTCCTCATAGGCAGCATATAGAGGTCCGATCAACAAGTTTGTTTTTATGTTTTTTATGTTAAATGTTAAAACTAATGTTAAGACTAGTTATGTAGCCAGAATAATGAACGTGATATAACACCGGCGATGATTTGTGTGGATGATGTTGGCATCTCGCGCGGGTACAAACGTCGCACCCCGTCTCTCTCCTCAGGTGCCAGTGAGCAGGCTCAGTGTGTGCAGGAGATGGGGCAGCCACCAGGCATGGGCATGCCCAACCCCCCTCGCCTGCAGCACCCACCCATGGAGTGGCCACAACGCTCCAACCAGCAGCAGCAGCAGCAGCAGCAGCAGCAGCAGCAGCAGCAGCAACCGACAATGGGTGGGGCGCCGGGCGGAGGGGTTGCCGTGACGACAGCGCCCGGCAGCCTGGAGACGATACTACGGGGTGAGTGTGAGTTGGGACGAGTAGTATATATGTACTATACTTATAACTGATATTATATACATGTACTATGCTTATAAATGATACTATATACATATATTATACTTATAAATGATAAATTCCCAATCCAAATGCTCTATGAGGATGTCTCAGTGAGTAGGTTTCTTACCTAAAATGACTCGGCATGGGAATCGTTAAGGAGTTGCAGTCCATACACGCCCACGATCCAGCTATCACGCATCCCCCCTCCTGCTAAGTGAGTGTGTGTTGCAGGTATGAGTCCGCAGCCATCCGTGTCTGGCCTGAGCCCGCGTGGCGGCGGGGCGATGCCCCCCGGCCTCGGTGGTGCACAGCTGCCCCCCGGTCAGGGTGGACACGCGCCGCCGCAGCCGCCGACGTTCGATGTGAACATGACAGAGGAGCAGCGGCAGCAGCAGCTGCAGTATGAGGAATGGCTTCACAAGCATCAGACAGTGCTACAGGTACGTAGCCGTGTCATCCTCCTCAGCATCACCTTTGCTCGACCATTGTCTTATCTTCTCTTCATCCTCATTGCAATCTTCTGCCTTTACTACTACTTCACTACTACTACTACTACTACTTCTACTTGCTCGTAATGATCTCTATGAAATTGTTCCTCCCCTTATCTATCCACCTCCTCATTCTTATCTTAATCCCACTTGTCCTTATCTATCATGATCATCTTCTTCCTCGTCTGTCTCTCTAACCTCCTCTTTACCATCTTCATCCTTCTCCTCTCCTCTCCTCTACCTTCTCACTGTAATCGCCCTCTCCTCTCTCCACCTCCTCGTCCGCACCGTCTACATTACATCACACACAGCCCTCTACGTTAGCCGCAGCCCCCTCTCATCGCCGTTGTCACGGTTACAGATGCAGCAGAAGATCCTGGACACGGAAATCGCAAAGCTTCGTAAGGAGAAGAAGTCGCTGAACGCTCGTCAGCGCACGCTGCGTAAGAACGGGGCCGAGCTCAGCGAACCGGACCAGCAGCTGATGCTGAAGCTTACACAGGACATCAGCAACCTACAGAAGAAGATAGAGCAGGTAGGAGATGTACAGGGAACGGGGAGGGAAGGTAGGAGAAGTACGGCGTGGTGGGGGAAGGTAGGAGAAGTACGGGGAAGGTGGGGGAAGGTAGGAGAAGTACGGCGTGGTGGGGGAAGGTAGGATGTACAGGGAAGGAGGGGGAAGGTAGGAGAAGTATGGGGAAGGAGGGGGAAGGTAGTCACCTTCACCTCCGCTATCGTCACCACACTAACTCATCTGTCACCTTCACCTCCGCTATCGTCACCACACTAACTCATCTGTCACCTTCACCTCCGCTATCGTCACCACACTAACTCATCTGTCACCTTCACCTTCGCTATCGTCACCACACTAACTCATCTGTCACCTTCACCTCCGCTATCGTCACCACACTAACTCATCTGTCACCTTCACCTCTGCTATCGTCACCACAGATGCGTAAGCAGAACAAGCAGCACGGCATGCTGGTGCAGGAGTACCGCATGAAGCAGGAGGAGCGACGACAGGTGATGTTTGCCACCCACGCACCGCCGCCGCCGCCCCCGCCGCCGCACGTCCCGCCCGGCCAGCCGACCCCGCCGCAGGGGCCATCGCCGTCGCAGAGTCCCATGCTCCACTCGCCCCGCATCCCGACGCCTAGCTCGTCCGACGATGGAGTGATGTACCGCAGCGCAGCCGTGCTCACCGGCCCGCTCGCCGGCCCGCTCGCCGGCCCGCCCGCCGTCAGGTACGTGGTCGTGTAGAGGGTGTGGGGTGGACGTGTGCGTGCGTGCGTGCGTGCGTGCGTGCGCTGA